CGGCCGCCGGCTACGGGGAGGGAGGAGATGGTGGGGTTTGCCGGCGGTGGGGGGCGGATTTGGGGGAAGGAGTTGGGGGATGCTCACGCGCCGCGCACGCGTCGGGCGTGGGCCAATACAAATGGCAGAACCGCGTGACAAAACAGTGGTCATCGTGATGGGCCTTAACAGCGGCCTGCTTCCAGCCCAGTTACTAGCAGAAAATGGGGGTATTGCTACTTGATAAAAATCCAAAAAAAAAACTTGATAAAAATTGGAACACTATTCACAGCCGATTTATAAAAAACTTATAGGCCAAAAAATGAAAAAAAAGTTTTATAGAATAATATAAAATCTTACTCTATAATGGTCTGAAATAAATAAACAAAAAGGAGTGCATATCTTTCCACCGACAGAAGAAAAATTGTACCGGTAAATTTTTCTCCCCCGTCACCGTTGTAGACAAGTGTACCATGTCGTTGATCCGTCCGTCACCAACGGCCTAACCATCATCCCCCGTCAGCAGTGGTCGTCGCCAACGCCGCATTGTACCTTCATGGCCATCCCTTAACACCCCCTTTCTTCCGGTGTCGGCCACCCCTTCCCCACCCACACTTGCTCCGCCTCTGTCGGCCCTATATGCAGGTCACCCTAGGCTCGCCCCTTGCTAGGAATAATGCAGTCAGTCATGTGATTCTTGTATTCGGCTCGACCGGTCGCCATTACCACGACATCGACTGATCTAAAATAAAATTGTTGCAGCTTGAATAATAGAAAATGCATCAAAAAAAAACTCGTTTTGCATGTTTGAATAGTCGAATAGAAAAAGGTGTGGTAATCCAAAGACTCGTCCTTGATCACTTGAAGCTGATCCTACAGGATGAAAAAGGTCTTATAATTTTTGCTGCTTATTGACAAGTCCAATTTCCAACTACTTTTTATCTTGAGTTTTGTATCGTAGACAAAGGTTTTGTGGGAATTTTATCGCGTCCGCACACATCTTTTGTCTATTTTCACCAGGATCCCATTCGTGAGGAGTTTTAAGGCGCACTAGGACAAAAGTACAGAAAAATGAGGTAAAAATCACGTCAGTTGCGTGATAGGAACCTTCCAGATAAAGCCACGAACAAGCCCGAGGAGAACCAGTTGCGCAGGAGGATCCAATGGAGAAGGCGGCGTCTGGCACGAACGCGAGTGCTCGTACTAGCCACCACTGCCCCTGAT